TAAATGAATTATCTTTAGAAGAGAAAGACAAAGTTGTCACGCATTTCAAATTTGGTAAACGGCCACCAAGGAGAGGAAGAGGTACAAGCTTTGCAACTGATGTAAAACAAACGACCGAGGATCAAGGAGACATAACATGCTCATTATGTAAAGGAATGCACAATTTGAATGAATGTGAACAGTTCCTGCTGAAATCTCTTTGTGATCGACGTGACTTTGTAAAGGAAAACAAACTGTGTTTTGGTTGCTTCAGCGACCAACACATCGCTAAGAACTGTAAGAACAAGCAAAGTTGTAAGACCTGCAGCAAGCAACATCCTACGTCATTACACGACGACAATTGGACAAGGAAACCTAAGAGACAGAGCGAAAGAAAGGAACCTGGAAACAAGCCTCAAGTAAACAGTCGCACTACTGTATGCAGCATAACTGATGCTGGAGATATACCTGTCAACATGAGTATATTACCAGTTTGGTTGTACCATAAAGATGATCCGGACAAGAAGATAAAGGTTTATGCACTGCTGGATAATGCCAGTGGCGGAACTTTCATAAAAGAAGAATCAGCAAAAAGACTTGGTATCGAAGGAAGTGACACTGTCATTATTGTTTCAGTGGAAAGTGAACTGTATGAAGACGCTGATGGTAAGGCACTCTCCACTGTAGTCGATACCTTTGCTGTTGTGGATGCTGACTTTGACGCTGTTGTAAATACTTCCGGTGATGCAAGGACTACCGTCGTAACCGTTGGTGATGTTGTTATTGATACCTTTGATGATGTTGTTGTAACCGTTCCTACYGTTGCAACCGGTGATACAGCTGTTGTCACTGATAACTTCCCTGGCACCAATCCTGTTGACACCTCAGCTGATGTCGTTGTCGTTTCAATCATTGTAGAGGGGAYAATGTCATCATCATCATCCTGATGATTCACAGGTGAACCTTCATTTAAACTTAGAATATAGTTTGAAAGCAAGTTCGTTACTGGCAGGCATGGTAAACCTGGTGCAGAAACTGGCGTTGAGGAAAATTCTTCTTTGTTTAATTGCTCAAAGATTTTTTCTTCTTCCTTTGCTTGAGCTAAGTTCTCCTTTAGTTCCAGTTCCTCAGTAGCCATTTTAAGAGCTTGTTTATTCTTTAAAAATGCCGCCTTGACCTTTTTATGAAGCGACTTTTGTTTTAGCTTCAATTAATCGTGATTTCGATGAAGTTGATGAAGAAATAGAATGTTTAGAACCAACAGATTTCCTTGAGGAATGTCTAGATCGCYTTGAATGGATGGAACTCATTTCAGAACGCAGACTTTTAGCATTTGACATGTACTCACACACCGTCTGTTTAAATTTAAAGATCGCTCCATCATGTGTCTCGAACCATGTGACAGCATCGTCGATCTCAGCTTCATTTGTCAAAGAATTCAAATATTTGTCGTGAGCATCACATAACTTAGCAATCAATCCATTCAAAACTTCTGTTTCACTCGAGACAAAGTCAAAGTTTTTAAAGTCTTGAAGCAGTGGTCTAATTCTATTCATCTCTCTTGTTACTTTCCGTAAAGCCGATGTTCTACATTCTTTCAGGCTTTCTAATTCATATTGTTTACCTTTAGTCGTCGAGGTTTTCTTTCTCGCTCCGACTCCACATTCATCAGCAACCTTTTCCTTAGTTCGTCCTTCCAAATCCAGTAAACCTTGAACCTTGTCTGGATGTTGGCCGTTTGTTTTGGTCGCTGAATCAGTTGTTGAAGTTTCCTTTGGAGGAGAATTCGCTGACGTCGACATAATGTGTTGGACATTTGACTCTTCAATATGAATTACGGTATTTTCTTCCTTTTCTGCGTCCTTTTAAAAATTCTTGCTTTTCGCCGTCCATATCCGTAAGCCTTATTCTTATAATCGTTGTAAATCGTTGAAGACAAGTCCAGTTATAAATAACCGAAGGAACTCCGTAGTTATTCCAAATCGTTGACAGTCGATGATCGATGAAATTCAGGCGTAGAGTTTTTACTGTAGCTTCCACGGCGGCTTTTAACACAATTTTCTTTATTGAGGCAGAGTATAACACTTACGAACCTTACGACTTTCGATGCATACATTTCACTAGGAAACATAGAGATAATATAAAAATTAGGTAACACCTAATAGCGGAGCTCCAATAGCAATATAGAAGCTGAAAATGATTATCTAGTACTGCTATTTCAAAGGTAGATGCTTTGTTCTAAGGAATGTGAGCTACAACAGTTTTGTTGACATGCGAACAAATACTATAAAGAGTATGTTTATGAGAATTTAGACTGTAGATTCTTTGTTTTTAATTTCTCTCAGTCTAACTGCTAGCATGGTCTTGGTTTCGAAATGTCCACACTTTTAGTCGAAAAAAGAACTTCGCATTGAAGTATTGAAGTATTTCCAATAAAGTATCATCTCTTTTTGATGTCGAAATATCAAAGTAAAATCCTTCTTTCTAATATTTAAGATGGGCCTAAATTGCTTTTCATCTTCGCAAATCGATTTCCCGGATGTGCGGACGCGTCGAAGTTATGACAAAATTGGCGGGAATATTTCTGTGTTGTTATTTCGCTCTTCAGTGGATTTTTTCCTTGTTATTAATTGTTCTAATATTATCAATATGTAATATAAATGTTTAAGGAAAAAAATTCGATTTTTCAACAAATACTTGGACTTTTGTTTTTTTTTTTCGAGCGGAGTATGGGTTTCCTGTGGTGGTACAGGGACGGAAGGACGGACGGAAGGAAACGTGCGTACGCGCGGGAACCCTGTGTCGGTCCATGGAAAATCGACTCGATGGTATACCATTTTTTCTTAGCTATGGTGCTCCGCTCGCGCGGGCCTTCGGAGCGGAATAACAACACAGAAATATTCCCGCCATTTTTGTCATAACTTCGACGCGTCCGCACATCCGGGAAATCGATTTGCGAAGATGAAAATCGATTTGCGGGAGCTCCGCTATAACTAACAAATGTCTTAC